TTATGTTGGTCTGTTTTTATTTAAATGTTTTAAATCTTCATTTAAAATTTCATTTCATTTTATTAATTTATCATTCATTTCTTTTTTGTTTTCTTCTTTTCAAGGCCCTGTGGAATCCTACATGCACTGAAGTTTTATTTAAACCAGTACATATTTCAACCTAGGTTAAATCATTATTTGACCACAAGAAATGCATTACTAATCTGTGACATTAAACAATGAGTAAAATCATTTTTTCTATTATTCTATATGTTAACTGTTTCTCAGAATATGTGATACAAAAATGTTTTCATTCCAGATACTTTATACTTTTTGTATTTGTAAATAATCACACATACTTTTGATGAAGAGTCAACTAATATATGTCTGTTTTATTCCTATTCTATTTTAAAAACAAAAATATACTTTTATATAGAAATTACTTCTATATGCAAATATTCTAAAATGTAATATTCCACTTGGCAGTAAATGTTGTTACTCAACCTTCTCATCCATATCATTTGTCTCTCTGGTGATAGTTTTCATTTTTTTCATCATGTATTCTATAAAGAGTAGATTAGTTTGAAAACATTGCCTTAGTTTCTCCCGTCTTAGTGGGACAATTCCTACTGAATAACTAATTTATCTGAAACCTCTTTTCTCTTGTGTTAATATAAAAATAGTGTTTTCAAATGGAATATGTATTGAAGAGTCTTAACTATAGTATATATTAAAAAAAAAAGAAATCCTACTCATAACCTTAAAGAGTTGAAGAAATGCTTATTGGCTACTGACCGCACACTGAAAGGTATTTCTTTAATGTGTCATAAAAGGATGTCTGTATCCTGAACTTGGTATTGCTCCCCAATTTCTTTGTGTTTCCTGTTTACTGTCTTTCTATAATAGCTCATTTTAGTTATCAAACAGCCAGGTGGCTGCAAGGCACTTCAGAATGACTTACTGTTGTGGGAACTGTGCAGGACAATAGGAGAGCCAAAGAGCTCAGGACAGGACAGCACATTTTCTATTTCACATACAAGCCATGAAATAGCCATGGTTCATGATGGTAACATTCAGAAATACACAATTTATTGAA